TGTAACGGTTATATGCAAGGGACTCATCTATGAACACCTTTATTTTGAAGAGATTCTATAGAACAGAAGAAAGCAATCCATCTATTCCTTTATCTGAGTTTTTCTTTCTAAAAATATTCATGTTATTTTCATTATAGTGAGGCTTGTAGAAAGAACCAAGATCTGAATGCCATCATGCTAAATACTTCACAAATGGTAGGAGACATTGCATGACCTAAAGGTCACGCATATACAGAGGTGAAACAGGTTGTTGAGGTCACTTACTAGATCAGTAGCAGAGCTAGTAGTCTGGAATGCGTTAACTCCTGTATTTTGTACTCCGCCTTTTCAGCCTGCAGCCTTTCCGGAACCCACCAGATAACTGAAGTCACCATTTGTCTTTGAAATCCCCTTTTAAAATTGACAGAAAACACAGGTCTTCTGATTCTGCCTGTGAATCTCTCTCCTCACTGTTTGCCGGACTTTCTTCAGGCTTTCTTCCACTGCTGATATTAGAGTTACTTATCAAAGTCTTATTGAGCTATTTTAATTATTGCAACTTCATATTTCTCCTTTAAGCTTGGAGTCTGTCTCATTTTGGAGGTAGTCTGAGTCTCTCCAAAGCACAGAACATTTTATAATTTGTCCCCTGCAGCAGACAAATGTATTTACTGTAGGCATTCACTATACACCTACCTTTTTCTGCTAAAAAGTGGAGCCAACTCATTTATAGGTTAGAGTTGCAGTATATTCTGCTCCACGCAACAAGCAACTGTGTTGTCAATTAAGGGAGAGAAAATCATCCCTATATTTAAGTTCCACTTAAAAGCAAGAAAATTACAATTAGAGGTTGGGTCTCATGTGGTTTCTCTGTTGCATTGTACATGACTTTTCTGGCCCTATATTTAGCCATTACTGATTGCATGCTAATTCATTTAATAAAATTAAACACAATGAAAAAGGTAAGAAAAAAGATATTTACCTGGATTCAATGGCACAACGATCTTGTTTAAATCTGGCCCCATCCTGTTATATTTACTAGTAAATAGCATTGTCATAACCCTCAAGACTGAAATACCATCAATAGTAACAACTTAAGCAATGAAATAAGGAAGTAAAACTTGCTCCCATTAATGCTTCATGACTCTTTATGTTCCTAGGCAATTTAAGAACATTCCTAAAAACCTACAATATTTCATTCTAGAGTATTTAAGGGAGGGCAGACTACTGATGGAAGAATACTCTTGCTTGGAATTTATGAAAGAAGAAGAAAAGGAGACAGATTTGCTTAAACGGGAGCTGAAAAAACTGATCAAAACTGAACAAACTCCTCTAAGTGACAGTGTAAAAGAGAACAATAAGGAGGAAGATGCAGTGGGAGAATATGAAAAGGAATTAAAAAAGCCAGATGAACAGCTAAATAACAGTGAGAAGGCAGGGAGTAAATGTGTAACTCCAGGTCCGAGAAACAAAACACTCATTAGACTGAAAAAAAAATACATATTCTCAGAAGCCACTGAGAATTTGCATCATGGGCTTCCTACAGCAGGTACAAAATCCAAAAAAGGCAGTCTTTGTGACCATAGACATGCGGGTCACAACTGCAGTGAAACAGCTGAATCAAAAGTGAAAAATTCCTTTGGGATATATGAACCACCTTTTGGTAAAGTTACCAAAACGAGGCGGAAGGATGGTTCCACTGAAGCGGAAGGCTGCGCTCATATGACATTTGCTGACAGGAAAAACAGTCTTATGAAAGAACTGTTTGGACCAGGCTGTGTTTGAAGAGACAACCATTCAAGTTCTAACATGAGAGGAATGAAGACAAGTGAAGGGACGCGGGATTACACAAGCCAAATTTCAAACCACCTCTGCTAACTAGTTTATAATGTAAAGCATCTAACACTAATGAAATCGCCAGGAATATACACAAACTAATTATTTTATTTGATATGTAGTTAAGCACATCAACTTATCTTTACTCTAGAAATATGGATTGTTTAAAACATTTTTTTAAAAAGCATTTTTTCTACCCTCATTAAATGCATACTAAATCTTACAAGTACTGAGAATTTCTTTCGATGATTTTTCCAAAATGATAGTCAAATCAGTTGTCACAAAAGAGCATTCTTCTGTGTTTGGTCTGTGTGCATGCATATGCATCTTAGTAAGAGTGCCTTAACAATTATGACATTTTTACCTGTTATCAGGTGTCCGAGTTAGTCCTTGTTTTGTCATTTCCAGTTTTTTGCATTCTCTCTGCAGTTTGAATTTTGAAGCTGATTATTTGTTAGCTAGCTGAAGCGAGCAATCTGCTTTTATAAGGTTCATTATTGGGTTAGTACCAACAATGCAATAAAAGAAAATAATTTTTTATTTTCTTCACTCCTGAAATAGCTTCCAGAATTCACACATAATAAAAATAATTTACTATTACATTGTTTTCACTAGCATTACAAAGCTCTAAAGCTTCATTCTTTTCCACTGTTAGAACTTATCAAAGTATCAAAGCCTGGTAGCTTCCACAGCTGACATCCAAAGATGAATGTGCAAGAGTAAACTATTGTTTTGGAGAAGTCAGGCATATCCAGTTCTCAAAAAGCCTTTAAAAATCCTGTGTTTAAGGTTATGTAAGCGAGGGCAGGATTATGTTTTGTTCCTCACAGTAATCCATGAAACGCCTGCTAGAATGTGAAGTTAGGGAAAACCATGTGTATTCTATTAATTTTAAAAGACAGCAGTACTTAAAAAAAACTTCAAAAAATTATACCACAAAAGGTGATTAAGACATTTCAATCTGAACCTACTCGCCGCATATTTCTTTTCAAAATTTCAAAGGTTTATCTTGAAGTAGTGCTTAAGCTGTACAGTGGACAGGCTTCAGAGAATGACTTTGGCCAGAAGAGTGTTTCTCCTCTGTGAACTATCCATACCTCTACAATGCCTTTACCGCTGTCTCAAAACTACGTAATTTGGGATACCACTGTCCCAAGCATACATAATCCAGCACTTCCATCTCAACTGACTAGATGACCAAAAGCCTTTTTGCCCTGACTCGCCCAAACGTTTGACTACAGCAGCCAACAAACTGTGTGTTTGGTGACCCCATGCTAAGCGTGGATAAACAGCAGATGCCATTGTGAAGATTTTAAATGATGCTGCTTTTCTTGACTTCACAGTGTTAAACTCTGTAACAAGCTAGAGTAGACATATCATTAGCCCCATCTTTAGATTCAGAAGTATGCCAATGTCATTGTTAAATAATCTGTCCCGAATACTTAAAAAAAAAAAAAAATAAAAATTAGGCTTGTTGATTCCAAACGTATCTCCTTATGCAAGAACATGGCGGGAGGGTTGTTGGTTTTTTTTTTTTTTTTTTTGGGGGGGGGGTGTTTAGGAAAACTGTAATTAACATTGAAAAACAGATTAGAAAACTTGAGATGGGTTGAAAAGCTTTATTTTGTTAATAAAAACACATAACATTCAATCACAACATTTTTTTCTTGATGATACTTAATGCATCTGTTTTCATGCTGGCTAAATGTAATCCCTAATATAAACCCAATTTTTTTTTTAAAATTAACATTTAAAAAAAAAACAAACTATTTGATGCATATATACATACACACACATGATGTTTCATGACCTTTTAAACTGTTATCTAAATGCAGTGCTACTTAAGGAGGGGCCCTAGCTCCTTCCTGCAGGAAGGCAAAGGACCTGAAATAACAGCACAGATGCATTCCACTCTACGCAGTGGGAAGCTGAACCAGAATTGCCAAAGCCCAGTAGAAGAGGGAAAGGTGTCCCCTAGAGCTTTGTCCAGGCTCCTGTCCAAAAAAAAAAGGTGCGGAACAAGAACTTTATAAACCACCCATTTGTCTTACGGGGCAGCAATGACAGGGTTGCAGACCTCTGTAGGTTGCTACCACTGTAGCACGGAAGATAGCGCAACTTCGTCACTGTTCTACAGGCACGGTACCAGGAAGAATTCTGTCTGCCTTTAAATTCAAAGTATTGTGGCTGTTTCCTGTACCTAAATACAGCAAGAAGGATTGGCTCCAAAAGAGAAAATTGTTTTCCCTCCTCCTCCTGCTTGCTACTTTAGACATTTAAATCACTAATTTGCCTTTTTACAGTTACATAGCTGTTTCGAGTTATCCTGGACTGTCGTTAGTATATACTCAAGCCCTTAGAAATGTAGTCCTCTAAAGGAACAACGCTGGTCTCCTACTTTCTCTTTCTTAATATGGAGCTTGAGAAGGTTGGCCAGACCTTTTCTCCCAAAGCATGGAAGGAAATAGTTTCAGTGATCCTCACTCAGTTTGGGAAGCAGAAAAAACGTCAAGGAAGGACAGGTATCAATAAAAGTAGGAAAAAATTCAAGTGTTCAATGAATTTTAAAACTCAGGGAGGAAAAAGCAGCCAGCCGTCCCGTATTTGGCAACTGAGTGAGTCTCTTAAGGGTTGATTCTGCATATGTATCACTAACACATTTTCTAAGACAGCCCAAGAATGCACCAATTCTAGTGTAAAAAATAACAAGGAGGGAACTAATTCTGTTTTACCCAAAGCCAACCAAACCACCTACCTCTATCCTCTAGTACCACTTGTCCCCAAATATAATCCCACCTTTGGGTGAAACTGCCACATTATCCAGCAAAGAAACAGCAAAGCTCTCAAATTAATTCCTAATACCAGTGTACTTCCAACTTAAAAATACAAATCCGACACTTTTAGATGTTGGTGAATATATGGCATGACAAAGTCTTACGATTCTGCCATGAATCAGTGTTCATACTTGTTGAAATAGACACAAAATGAGGTTCTATAAGCAGCCTTGCTATTCTTTGAAAACTGACCACCAAACTGAAAACCGAACTAAGGAAAGATAAAATAAATGAAAAGGAATGCTGGCTGATAGCCAAATGAAGGAACAAAGACCATCTCAGACCTAGTCTCACGAAAGGCAATGGTTCCTTTTTTTTTTTTTTTAATTCCTTTAAAACAGTGATAATGAAAATGCAGTTGAGGACTCCGTGGATTACTGGGATTCCTTCAGCTGAAAGGGTGTAGCATGATAGCTACCACTTTATTACAAACCACAAGCCAACATGTAATTCCAACACCACCTGAAAGAGATATAAAACACGATTTAAGTCATTGCATCAATAACCCTGAAGCACACAAGCTTCTGAAAACAACTCTGGAAGTGTAAAAAATGAAAGTTAAGAGTTACGAGGTGAACAGGAACAGAACATCTTTCTTTTAATATACAAATATCTTCAAGGGATGGCAGCTAACTCCACACTGGTCCCAAGGAAACATGAAGATTGTCCAGGGAAAAGAGTACCAAATAACACCAAACATGAGCCAAAGTGCAGTATATAGAACTCATAGCTTCTAAAAACATTCGCTATGTACCTAACAGAAAATGTCTAAGGCATGGCAAGTAACAGAATACTTTGCTAGAACCTAAATTCAAGATTTCAGATAGGTAAAAAGTAAATTTCCCCCGAAATCTACACCAGCCTTTTTAAAAGTATTAAATCCATACTTCTCTCCTTTCCTCTTGCTCCTCATACAGCTATGTAGAAAAATGCTACAGAGACCTTCGCTACTGACCCGGGTGCCTTGCGCTGCTCTTTTAAAGGGTCTGGTCATTCAAACTAGCAGCACAGAAACTTGCATTGGTATGATGGAATACAGGTGTGCCCTGACTGTCATACACAGCACATCCATATTGCAGGCTACATAGAATCATGCTACACAGTATCCTGGAATACATAGCTATTCACAGCGCGCATGTGAAGAAACTACCTTTTTGGTGATTTTTAGACATTTTTGTGTTTATCACCTAGAGTTCAAAAGCGATCTCTTTATTGTGATTATCAGCCAAGACAAAAAAGGAGATCTGAAGGCAGGCATGGATGTGAACCTTTTTAAATCCCTTCAAATGCTGTTTAAATAAATGTCTTCCAAGGACTATTCCCCCACCCTGCACAGAAGCAGACTCTTCTCTTGTCCGGTAAGCTTGCTGGATACAAATCCCTCTCTAGAGAGCCATTAAAGATATAACAACATACAATTCCAACAACATATTTTGGAATTCCTTCTAAGGCAGTTGGGACTTACAAGCCTAACATGGGAATTTACCAGCAGCATTTTAGCTTGATGGTAAATTTCCACACTACATTGTCCTGTCATTCTGCCTGTCTACTTATCCCGTTAGCACAGAGCCAGCACACTTTTCACTCAGAAACAGATATCTACAACCTGTGATATTGTTCTGATCATTAATTCGTTAAACTGCCCAAAAGAAAAGGATTTAAGTAGGTAAAAATGCAACAGAAGTGTGATGGGAAAAAGGGTGGGAACAGACAAGACAAAATGCCAAGAGAGAGCATACCTAAATCATTCTGGAGTTACTCTACTACGAAACCCCAGCAATTTATAAGAAACACATGTACGTGATACAGACCTATGAAGTGTTTGCCCATTTTTAAACCCAATTCTGCTACTTCAGTGGACTCCTTAATACAAACATATTTCTGATTTGAAATCTTTGCCAGGGTCTATTCCATATAGATAAATCTGCTCTGTTTGAGAAGAAATGAAAACGACAAATCGCCAATTTCATTGACAGTTAAAGAAACAAGAATTCAATACACAGGAAACAGCTAATCAAATGTTTGAAACTCCTCCCTGTGTTAAGGGAGTTAGAAGAAACGTACAGAAGCAGTGCTTTTAATCTACATATGCTCTTCATCACTACATTGTTAGCATCTGCATGGGCTTGGGAAATGTATTTTTATTACTGCACAGTCCTTACCTGCCACCCCCGTAGGAAAGGCTACCAAGCGCTCCAGCGGAGCAAGCCATTTGCTTGGAAGCACTGTAACTGGCTCAGAATAGTACTTCCAAATGAGAGAGATCATCAAGGCAGCCTGGAATGGAAATTTTTATTAGCTTGGATAATAATACACATCAAAGGACATTTCCACTGCTATTTGGAAGCAGTAAATCACAAACTCTAATTAAAGGGAATAGTTCTTTGTGGTTTTACATTGTTCTTAAGCAAGTTCCAAATATTTTTAAACTTAGTGTGACCTTAACTTCATACACAATATTAAGAAGTAGCAGTGAGACGCCGGAAAATACTGCTTTCTTTTGAGACCCTGGTTCAAGACTAGCATAGGCAAACATAGTAACTGTTAAATTCTGATGACTGTTTTGAACCATAATCCTTGCCTGCTAGGAATCCAACTAGCTTTAACATCACCCTAAAGCTATCTTCAGGTTGACCACTGTTGTCCTTATTAGCAGACAATTCTTTGTCATCAGGTCTGAACTACAGAAGACAATCTGATGAGGCACTGTGGCAAAATGTGCGGCAGGTGTAAGTAGAGATTGGCATCCTCATCAAAAGCACATTTTGTTTTCAAAACCATAAGCAAAATATATGTACAGGTATCAGAACCTTCCTGGGTCCAGTGCCATATATAAATGAAAAAAAAAAAAAGCGATGAAAGAGCTAAGACAAACTTCTATCTTGTCATCTCAAAACCAGAAACACAGAGCTAAAATGAAACTCAAAACTCCTTCCATCCACAACTACCAGACCTTATCAGCAACATCTCTCCCTTCTATTTCAAGAAACTGTTTCAGTTTGGCATGCACTCTGTCATTGGAATGTCAAACACCTGTGTGACTAATCATCAGCCAATAAATGCAGGAGAGAATTGTAACGCTACTGAGGATCTGGTTTAGTAATTTGTATTCACAATAAAATATGTACTTACTTGTAAGATGTAGAACACAATATTTATAACCCACTTTATTTTGGCTAATTGGGCAGTTCGTGCTTTCACTGTTAAAAAAAAATACTCTGCATTATTTATAATGGTGAATTATACTTACATAAAACTATTAATGTATTAATATTTCACTCTTCAAATCAGGACATTACACTGTTTAAAAATTTCTTTTCAAATGACTCACAGCTATATTGAAAGTACCCTTCTGCAAGAAAGTGCTAGGTCCATATCGCACTGTAGCTTCTTATTAACACTACCTCGAAAAGTTGCAAAACACTGATATCCTAGACAGCGAAACGTCACATGTAATCAAGGACACTATTCCCAAATGAGAATAGTCACAGTGGTCACTAACTTGAGAACCTGCTTCAGATGAAGCATAGAATAAATTTCTCCCTTTCCTAAAAGGGCAGAATGATGGCTCTAACAGATGTGCTTTTTGCCTTATTTCATTCAGGAACACAGTTAAGACTGTTCCTTCATTGAATGAATCTTGGTCAGGTTCAGTATTAAAGCTTCTCATCCCTATTTTTCCTTCTGTTACAGTACCTCAGACCAATATAAAGAAGTCCAGTGAAGATAGCACATCTTCAAATGTTAACGGTGGCCTAAAGTTTTCTAAAACAATGTTGTTGGTTGCTAAGTAAACTACTCAAATCTAGTTGAATTGAAATTATTGGGTTAAGAATTACACTACTGAAAGCAATCCAAAACTGCCAGTTGTAAATATTGTCCTTTCTCCAAGCAAGGAGCCTATAAACATCCACCCATTCTGCACAGAGGCGGCAGACAAAGCAAGTAGTCGCCTACCCTGTTAAGATCAGTTAGTGAGTTTAGGCAAAGACAAGACCAAAAGCTCTGGTGCCAAAGGTTTATACGTACTTTCTACCATGAGATGATGGACTACACTACTATAAAATCCTAACTGAGGCAAAGCACTACAGCTTTATCGCAAAAGCTGCTGCAGAAGATCAAACAGGATTGCAAAATGACAGGAAAGATGTCACCTGGTTACCTTATAGATCAACACTTTCTCTATAGCATTTCGTAGTACCCAACCAAGCAACGCATCCTTCTGCAGTGAAGATATGCAGCAGAGGACTTCCTCAACTTAGTCAAAACATGATTCAGTGATAAGCATCACTGATAAAGAGTAAATAATTACACAGTGGAGCCCAGGGAATTCCCTGTAAGAAAAATTTTGTATCTAAATCACTCCCTTATCAGTATACGCAGAACTATGCACAATTGAAAGACAAAGGCAAGCTCCCCAAAAAGCTCAAAGAAAAAAAACATAGAAAGAAAGAAAAAAAGAAGGAAACACTGGAAATGGAGAAGGGGGAGAAAGTTGAAGGAGAAATATACTTAAAATTGGAAACACTCTTGACAAAATGTTTTTCAGAAACTAGAAAAGGAAGTAAACATTGCACTCTACCGTGAGTTTTAAGCTTGTCAGTCATTTTGTTAATCTTTCTTTCCAGGCGGGCATATCTAGCGAACTCATCCATCATACTAATGGTTGAGAGTTCTTGCTTCATGTTCTGAATTTCAGCTCTCATTTGGGATTCCTGCTCTGCATCCTTTTGTAACAATCTGGATATCTAAGAAGTAAAGAAATGGTATCAGTTATTTATCCAGAATTCCACCGATTTTCTTCAATACATATAAAGTATGATCTCCTGTTTACATACTTGAAAGCCTCCCATTAAAAAAGGCCCTTTCATCAAGACACAGGAAAACCTAGGCTTAACAGTTGCAGCACGTTCTAAAAGCCAAAGATTTTTCAGTCTCTTCTTCTCACTGAGGCAAGCAAAAAAGGGTTTTACCGTCCCTGTAGGGCAGTGATTTTCAACTTTTCTAACTATGGTTAACTGCCTTTTCCTTCTCTGTTTCTGCTTTCGTCTCCTCATCTCCCCACTCTCGATGACGCTGCCTTCTGAGACCTTTCA